CGCATTGTCTACATTGGGCGACTGTTCCCAATCGTGTTTACATGTAATTTCTGCTATTTATCTATGCAGATGAACAGCTGGTTTGATCTTATGCATTGGGAGGGTGTTTGCAGCCTCAACCACTACTGCAATTGTGCTGATTTAAACCACTAGATGCTATAAAACATGTATTGCTATGGTAAAAGTTTTGTTTGGTGACAAATAAAACAATCGCACATTGTTATTCACATGAATCTAGATATTAATACACATTTATATTAATATTTTGCGTGATTAAAGTTAATCTTAGACCATATTTATCTCCACTCACTGAATATGTATTGTCTTCCAGTAAACGTATTTCAGGTATTCCTTCACCAGTTATAGTAATAGCTACCATTTTTGTTGGGGGCTTATTTGGCGCATACTGTCCACGGAAGTCGGCTGTTATTTTGAAGCTCTTCTGTAGACAATCTTTGACGAGGACATAACTACAATAACCTTCAAAATCGTACTCCTGTGCGTCGAATGTCATCATATGAGGATCACCATATCCAATGGCAGCTGTAAATTATGCAAATTACACACTTTCTTATGCACTGTGTTATGGTGACATTTTACGTTTTAAGTATGAGTAATATTAAGATCAGTTAATTTGGCATTGCCATTAAACCACCTCGAAACTGTTTGAATTACAATATGTATAAATTGGGCCAAAAATTAAATTGATGAATAGAGCTAAGAGTGTGATGATGATTCTACGATCTTATGTTTTTGTTCTTTTGTGGAAAAAGAGAGATAATATTATTTTGAACTTGTTTCCTTAACACAGTGCAACTTTGACTGAGATTGTTGTGATTGAACAAATATTATTTTTTATATCCAAAACATCAGGTTTTTAATTTCTTAACTTTTCTACAAAATATCCAAACATAGGAATACGTGATTAGGAATGAAAGATAGGAAATTAAGTGGATTTATTAGGGATATTGAGATTGATATTGAGATTTCTAGACATATATTTTGCATTTTGTTTTTCAAATTTGTATCTACTATCTTAGAAAGTAGGCAGTATTTTTTATGGGAACGTCAATACAATAACAGATTATATGTTCAACAGTAATTACAATGGGGATATATTACATTTTTTCAGATATACAATCATTCAGTTCATGTTCATTGGAATTCATGTTCTGAAATTGTTACTATACAGAAAATTGAATAAGTAGAAGATAAAGTACCACTGTACAGTTAAACTATTGGATACATAATTAAAACAAATTACCCACCAGCGCGTGCTTTACCTTGACTGCTTCGTCGATGCTAAGGTCGTCACGAAGAAAAACATAAATATTCGTGAATAAAAATGTGCCAATATGGTGGTAACAAAGTTTTAATATGTTTATAAGCACATTGCCAATAGTGAACGCTGATATAACTGATCAAACCCCAGTATCTACAATCGTGGCGATATCTATTGAAGCTTCATAATTTAGTGATGTTATTGGATCATTAATTAAAGAAAGCTTAGAAAGAACTCCCGTGTGTTGAAGGTATTAGAGGTATACGTACAAATACTGTATTGAAAATATATCTGCAATACAATAAAGTGTTTATTATTGCATGCAAAATTATTGAAATACGACTTATCTTATTTATATCATAGACTTGTCCTTGCCTTTTATGTTATAGATATAACTGCAAGCAACAATTAGGGTGGTTCTAAACTATGGTCACCGTACAACAATATTCAATGAAATAATGACCATAGATAATATTTTGGTTATATAGCTTGTCAGACAATACAATGATATCATCCATTGCATGTTCCTATCTGCACAGTACATGTGTATTTAGTACATTACAGTTATGCATATTAAAAAACATGAAACTAAAGAAAGGTAATTAATGTGCATTTATTTCAACCCTGAAGTAATCAGATCTGTGGTTTATTTAAAATCTTCTATGTACCTAGTTTCATTAAAATGTGATTAGTGGTACTCAAGATATCTTTGGAACACCTATAAACTGTAACACGAGAAACAAAGGGAAATGTTTAAAATTGGCTATTTAATATGGAAATTAGGTAATTAATGTGCACGAAAACTAAACAAGTCTGAGCATTATCCCAGAGCATGTATGTACCAAGTTTCAAATCTGATAATTGGTTTTTGAGATATCAGATGTCACACAGATACGCAGGCGCACTATCCGCAAAGACTCCAATTGTGTGCTACGCACACACGAGTCAATTATTAAGCTTACCCGAGTAGCTGGAACTTGTGTTGTCGTGGAGGCTGGGGATGGCTTCCATATATGTTTCGATTCAGCCAAACATATATACATCATGACAAACAGTAACGCATATGTAGAAACAGCTTTCATTCTTTCAGAAAACATAGTCAGGGTTATTTCGACGAATGCAAAATATCTGTCCAGAAGAAAACTGTATCACAAAGGACATAGTAACGTGATTTAGATTATTGACAGAATCAATGTCGAAAATATAGAATTGAAAATAAGATGTGGTTGAAAATAAGCTCGCCATATTTATTATTTAAATAAACAGCTCTCCAAAACATAAGCAAATAATTAGCTGTAATAAATTACACCATTATTTCAAAAAAGCTGGATGTGTTAATGTGTAAATATAGCCTGCATTCAACTGCAAATTAAACTACCGATGGACGTACCTGCTATTTCAATGTAACTGGCACAGCAGTGATATACGTATACTGTATGGGATAGAATAAAGCCACACGATGGTCACGTGATTGTCATATTACGTGACCCACACAGACAGTAACCGATTATACAGATGGCGTCACATCACCTAATTAGAAAACCAACATTTTTATTATTTTAAAAATAACGTCAGCAAAATTAGGAGAAATAATTGCCTGATATCTTTAATATCCCACACATAATGTCTTTAGGTTGCTTTTAAAATTATGCATATGTAAAAAAACATCTACATAGATTTAATTTTAGTCGAACAAATATTAAATTAGTATATTCTGAGCGACTTCGCATATGATTCTGTGCCTTTCATCAGAAATAAATGGATTGCGATATACCAAACCACAGTTTATGTCCCATGAGCTAGTTTAGGAAAGACAAAACTACTCGTAAAAGGTGACACGTTCAGACAAAAAAAAAACAATCATAACAGCTTGAAACAATCCACACGTGTTTAGAAAACACTGACAACTGTTGACAACTATTTAGTACAAATTCTGAAAAATATGATTACAAACAGGCATTCATTGTATTGTTGAAAAGATTATTGGACTCAATTGATCATAAAGTATACTGTATATACCTTAGAACATAATGGCTTCAAAAGGCGTAGAATTCAAGATGTGGCTAATTAAACGATTCCCTACAATGAGACTGTTGGCAGTTATAGATAAGGATTCCGTGAATAAAATAACATGTAGCTATTCCAAAATGAATTACAGTATGCTAACTACGGCACTACACATCTTCAGCTTTATTTCGTAAGATAACCATGAGTATCCACCCTGGACCGTTACACATATTAGTGAATGAATTTGTTAATTAAGTCTGCAAGATGTGCATTAAATAATTTTCTGACCAAGTCAGAGATTCCTTGACATTCTATGCGACTGCAAACATATAGTACATATATCTTGTACTATATTTTTTTCAGTTTTAGTTTTTTATTACATTTGTTTATTTATGTCTTATTATTCTCTTTACCTTACAAAATCCTTTTATGATTTAGTTGTGTAATCAAGTTATTATTATATATCTTGTATGGCTCAAACGTGTGATCTCAAGTACTAAAATATGACATAATCCCATGCGTTGTCAAATTTTTGGTGAGAAATGGTGAATTTAGGGGCGCCATTCTCACTCATCATTTAAATTGTTGGTTATGCACTTATGTACATTTATGTAATTTTAGGATATATGTGTTAAATATGTGTTATACAATGTTTTGGATGCACAGTCACGTGCTTTCTTGCGGTTCGTATTACGTAAGTTGTTATGTATATTTACATACTCAGTTTAATGTTTATGACGCCATCTTAAAAGCAGTATTTTGCAGGACGATCTCAGACAAAACGCTTTTACTACTTTACAAAATTCTCACTAATATTTCCGTGTTAAAATTCCTGGCAACACAATCGCCATCTCTACCTATCGTAAACAAGCTTACTTGTCAACATTGCTCATCTACGACCACGAGATATTCAAAAACCGTTCAATGAAGGATTTATCTAAAAAAAATATAAACTATTTGCATATTCAAATCATTGCCAGTAGCAAATCAGCTTCCTGACGGGTACCATATGTGGCAGTATGTTGCATTTTAATGGTTTTTGTCTATGAAAACCTCAAACTGCAGCAGCAGGTCGCGATTTCAAAGTACAGTCAGGTGACCATGATATTAAAGGGAGTACGAGGATGTTTTCCAATGGGGAATATATTTTAACTCTATTAAGGGGTGTCTTAGAATTCTCTGTCATTTCCATCATGTCTCGCTTCATGTGGCAGTCATTCCAGCAACTTTGATGAACAGTTTGCAGCATCACAGTGACTGTCAAAAACAGCTAGTAAGCCAATCAATGTTTTAATCAAATCCCACTTCACCTCTCGATTTGGAATTTGCATGGTATTTAGTAGGGCCTTTACTATTTCCTTATTAGGTTTTGGTAGCAGGATTTTTGACATGATTTTCATAGCAATTTGCTGAATTGCCCATATATGAACATTTCTGTCTAAAACTCTTTTTTTCCATCCTGTGTGCGCACGTTTTGATGTTCACAACAGTCTCTAAAATGCAATATTTTTACAGATGCATCTTCCACTTTAGGTTTGCTACAGCACGTGCCAGAGTTAAGGACAACCTAATAAGATCCATGGGACGGTGGCGAACATATGCTATATACTACATTTAGGTTGCAGATTAGTTTCTTTAGGCTGCGCAGTCAGCTCTAGCCAACATGCAAATTTCCTTTTCTGCTTTTTCATTTTCAATCTTGTTGGTAATTTTGTAATCTCCAATCTCAACAGATATACTGCTTTTTTGTATTGTTATGCAAACGTCCACCAATCTGAAAAGTGTTCACAAAATAGAATACAATAAATTCGTCTGCTACTACAGCACGTGTCAGAGTTCTGGAAAACGCTGGTGAACCTATACTAATAACTGCTATATTTATTATAGTCAGTCACCTGCAACCTGCCCCTTTCACACCCGGGGAGCGACAGTCTCCGCTGCCTCCACCTTCCATTTTCGAACAGGTTTTCTTCTGTGCTTTTTTACTCAGTTTGACATTTATTTTATCACAGGTTTTCTTCACATCGCTGTGGGCACATTCTGTTTTGGTTTTGATGTGGGTTTTCATATATTTCGTGCTTTGTTTAATACACAATCTATTCTAAGATTTCTTTATATGAAAACAGACATGTTAAACTATTACACTATGTTTACATAAACCGTGCACATATTGTGGAGTCAATGTATCCAGTAGCTCTGCGAACGCAGAGCTCTTCATAATTGTAGAGCTTAGAAATAAAGATATGATGGATAATTATAAGAAAATCAGATTAAAATTCTCATATTTTTTAGCCATGGCATAGCCTGTTAGTTGACATTTGCCATGAACTGTACACAATCTAAAGCCCGTATAGTGCTCACTGGGATTAGCGGGGGGGGGGGTTCTGCAGACCATGCACACTGGTATATAATATCATTTGTGACTGAAACAAGTATATGATATATTGTATGTTTCCCATTTATTATTTCACGAAAGAAGTGACAGAATAAGTATTAGATTTAAAGTAAGCATGCCAATGTTAAGCCCACAACGTCTACGTTTAAATAATTACATATGAAACTTGGTCTTGTGTTCCGTAAAATGATGTATATAGTGCCACTTTCACCACTGTGCGTCTATGGGCAGCTGTAAATAGATTTAAGAGCGATGTGTAAACATAATTACATAATATTAAACATACAAAGATGGACATATTATTGTTAGTGCAAGTATTACTCTAAATAACTATTCTCGAACCAAGTGTGGCAGCATTCAATTCGTAGATATTCACTTTGTAATTGTAATTCAAATCAACTTATTGTAAATAAAATAGTTGGTCGTCGATGTTAATGGAAGTTTGTACCTTTCAATACTAGGTGTATAATATTTGAATGAACAGCTAATTACCTTCCAGGTACAGCCCAACTATTTCCAAACTCATTGACATCATAAACAATAGAGCCATCTGGTTTGATGTAATCATTATCGGGATTTCCATCAGCATTTCCCATCAAGCCACACACGTGTCCGTGCATGTCTGTATTGTCAAGATTGATCCTCACTCTGTGTGTTCCTCCATTCCATATAACAATGAGTTTGAGTCCAGTTAAGTTCACGGTAGGTCTGCTACCTCTTACAGTAATGAAACCCCAGTCGCGATGGATATTTACTGTTTCTCTGGTATTATTGTGCAATTGTCCACCAATCTGAAGGAAATAGGTACATTTATATCAATGACATTATGTCATAGTCCACGCCCCTGGTTGTAATCATGGGTCGTAATCATGTTGTACATGTGCGTTTCCTGAAACATCATGCGTAATTACAACGGTTCATTCTTTCAAACAATTCTTAAATATGAAAAATGGCTGTATTTATGCGTGCATAACATTACCGATACTACAATTGATTTAGAAATAACTTGTTGCTCGTAATGAGTGTGACTTATTTAGCTTTTTTAGTTATCTAAACTAAATTCTGCAATATCAGTTCTTTGAATGGTCTACATTGGGCGACTGTTCCCAATCATGTTTATACGTAATTTCTGCTATTTATTTATGTAGATGAACAGCTGTTATGATCCCAGCATTAGGAGACAGTGTGTTTCCAACCCCAGCCACCACCGCAATTGTGCTGACTCGCTATTATAAAAAAATGTATTGCTATTGTAAAAGTAAGTAATCGTAAATTTTGTTTGGAGACATGGAATAAAAGAATCGCATAATGTTATTGATATGAATCTTAATATTGATACACATGTTGTATTAATATTTTGCGTGATACAAGTTAATCTTAGATCAAATATTTTTCTCTACTCACCGAATACGTATTATCTTCTAGTAAACGTATTTCAGGTATTCCTTCACCAGTTATAGTAATAGCTACCATTCTTGTTGGGGGCTTATTTGGCGCATACTGGCCACGAAAGTCGGCAATTATTTTGAAACTCTTCTTTAGACAATCTTTGACGAGGACATAACTACAATAGCCTTCAAAATCGTACTCCTGTGCGTCGAATGTCATCATATGAGGATCACCATGTCCAATGGCAGCTGTAAATTATGCAAATTACACACTTACTTGTGCATTGTGTTATGGTGACATTTTATGTTATAAGTATGAGTAATATTAAGATCAGTTAATTTGGCATTGCCATTGTAGACAGAAAGAAGGAAACATTACTTGCAACCTGTTATCTGAACAGTGCAGCAAACAAATTTGATTGAGTTAGTTTTGAGTGACAAAATAAATGTTCCGAAAATTCGACTTAACATCTCGATGTTTCGACATCACATCTCGAAAGATACTAAGACGAAATATCGATATGCTAAATCGAGATTTCGAGATGGTAAGTCGAAATTTCGTGATATTTCATCTTTTGTTAAGCTTTTAATTTGGCTCTAGTGGGCTTCCGCACATGGTTATCAATTTAAATTTTTTTTTTTTTTACAAAATATCCAAACATCAGAATACGTGTTAATACGGGAAGTGAATTTAAGATTTTTTCTAGACATTAGCACAATATACTTCGTGTCTTTCCCAGGTAGTATATACTGTCTTGGAAGTCTACAGTAATTACAATATAAACCTTATATAAGGAATTCTCAATACAATAACAGGGGAGATGTGTTAATCTTATATTTTCAACAGTAATTACAATAGGAATATATTACACGTTTTAAGACATACAATCGTTCAATTCGTGTTTAGAAAAAAAAGGGGGGGGGATTTATGTCCTTTTATGATACCTTGAATACGTAGAAGAAAAAACACCACCGAACGACGTTGTTCATTAAACTATCAGATACGTAATTGAAACTAGTCACTCACCGGTTCGCGTTTTTCTTTCATCGCTTCTTTGGTGCTAAGATCGTCACGAAGAAAACAAATTTTCGTGATTATTAATAATATAACGTAGTTCCATTGTTACTGTATTATAAATCATATTTTTCAAGGTTTGCATCAAATTGTTAACGTTCACGTTGAGGTGGACAGTTGATGAAAATTGTTGCGATTTGGCTCAACAAAAAATGTAAAATATCTCCATATTTTTAAGTAAGTTTTAATATGTTTATATTACACCGCCCACGCTGAACGTCGATATTAACTGAACAGACCTCTCGTATCTACAATTGCATTGAAATTAATTACTTAGTGATGTTATTATATCATTGAAAAATCTTACCTGAGTAACTGGGGGTTCAGTTGTGGTTTCTGGGGGTGGCTTCCATATGTCTTTTGAGTCCGTTATACATATACACACCATGACCACTAATAACGCCAATATTGAGACGGCTTTCATACTTTCAGAAAACATAAATAGGGTTAATTCGATAAATAGGTTCAGAATAAAACTAAATTACAAATGAGATTACGTTGCAAGTTGTAAAATAGTCTCTTGAGGTCTTTAAACATTAACAAAAAAAACGTCATATCATTTGCTCTATGTGCAGTCATATATATATACATCTTCGACGTTTAGAAATATCATTTATTCATCGTTCATCTAACTGGCTGTGAGTGTTAAAACAAGGTAAGATAACCATGCCGAAGGAACATATTAACATCAGTCTGTTTTCTCCATTCTCGATTCTGAACAACTTCAGTTCGCTAAAATCCAAATAGCGACTCGGTAAGAAGCCCCGGTAAGAAGCACTGCGATGTCACCCTTTTTGTTTGTCGAAAATACAATTTCAGGCCAGGTTTATTAGGTTTTGGTCGTTATTGTTCTGGTGACAGTCGACAGCATTTGTCTAGCAAAATGACTATCCTACTTTGAGTGATTGACAGAACCGATCTGATGGCGAAAATTGGCAATTTGAAATAAGTTGTAGTTGAAAGTAAGCTGGCCCTATTTTTCGTACACATTTAAATAAGCAGTTCCTCAAAACATTAGCAAATCCTATATAGAACATGTATATATACCACTTTCTATTACTAAGATGTTTAAGCTTCTGGAATCAAAATTGATTGTCTAATTGGCATAATGAATAGTTGAAACAAAACATTCTCACCCTAAAATTGAGTTTGATAACAGAAGCAACAATGAACTACAGAATATTTCAAAAGAGCTGGGTGCGTAAATACACCATAAATATAGCCTAGTCGGATTTTACACTAAATGTCAATTTAAACTATCGATAAACGTACCTGCTATTGCAATGTCTTCACCCAATGTAGAGATTTGAATTACTGGCACAGTAGTAATACACGTATAATATATATGTTGCAATGACGCCACGCGATGGTCACGTGATCGTCATTATTATGTGGCGCACCAGTAAACGATTTTACAGATGGCGTCAAATCACCAGATTAGATAACTAACACTATATTATTTTAAAATAATTTCAGCCATACTGGGAAAATTGCCTTGTGCGATCTCTAATATCCGACATACATAACCTTCAAGTTGTTTTTAATTAATGTATATGCAGTATGCATTACTTACTCTTGTCCTACAATTTACAAGAATTATAGTCAACTAATTATTGGTATGTCTAAATACCATTTAAGACACAAATAATTTTTTAAAAGATTTTACCAATACGGTCTATATATATTTTTTTCATCGTGTCTTAGTGTATGGACATGCTTAAACACATATAAAGGTATCATAACACCAATGGACTATTCAAAATAATGCTTGGTACCAAATATAAGAATCAACTTTAAGAAGAAATGGATTGTTGGGGTAAACCTTGACAGATTGTGAGTGCTATTCGATCACGTTGCATTGCAGACAGGTACAAAAAAAATAACATACTAATGACAAGCTGTGAAGCTGTGCAATATTTTCTTGTGTAATTAGTACTGAGTAAATTATGGTGCGCCAAATGAACACACACAGATTAACACGTTAAGGTGCATATGTAAACAATCCTACATAACTGAAAGATTGAACAAATATAAAATTAATACATTTTGTACGACTTCGCGTACGATTCTGCGTTTTTTGTCAGAAATAAATTTACATATACCAAACCACAGTTAATGCTGGATGACTAATTTGGGAACAACATTTTTTCCCACTCACAACTGCTCCCAATAGGTAACACGTTCAGACAAAATACACTATCATAACAGCTTGAAACGGGCTTTGATATACAGGGGTCACGAATTACCCTAACCCCATCCAGTCGCACGTGATTATAAACCACTGATTTCGTGATTGTGTGGGTTACGCTAGATACTGTTGGTGAAATAAAAGTGAACGCAAGTGAATTCACTGTGTATAGGGGCAAAACGCTCGTATGATTAAAAAAGTTACACCTTATATTGAATCCGTATATCTCAATTGAATTTTTCCCACTGTTTGAATCTGAACTGTTTTCACTGTTATGTTGTGTGGTAAATCTTAGAGAGAGTACAGGATACAGGTCTATCCAGACATATACATGTAATAGAGAGATGAACTTACGATTGAGAAATTATCCACGTCAACAGAGTATCGTTTGCGACATCAGCGTTGAACATGGCTAGTTGTAATTTAAATATTGACGAGAATATTCAAACAATTACTAGTACGTCTGAAAATACTCAGAAATATTGTCATTTTTACCACCCTCTCATGAAATTGGCTGTGTCTGGGAGCAATGGTCTGATCAAATTGGAAATCCTGAAGCGATAACGAATACTGAGGAATACTCCAAATAAATGTATATCAGACAAACTGTACAATTTGTTATTTGTAAAAGTCTATCAGAGAAAAGTTTTTTACAACAAAACCAACAAGATTGTGATTAATTATAAGTGTATCAACATTTATTTGGGCAATGATAGAATACATAAGGCATGCAATATACTTCAACATGTCATACAAACAACACAACGTGAACTTGCATATACACCACAAAACAATACATATTCAACCCAAGCTTGTGAAGATTTATAGTTGTCAAAAGCTAAACATCAAAATAATACCCAAGAAGCCTGGTCGGATTCTACGCCAACAAAATGTTCTTTTTAAACATTAGTGCTGATGTTAGCTGCTAATGACAACTTCTGGTCTAGACGCAATTGAGTGCAAGGGTTCTGGCGACCTTGCCCTTTGTTATATAATATTATTCCTTTTATCATAGTTTGTAACAAAATGAATATGCATTGTCATAATTAATTTTGAATACAAACACGTTTTGGGATTGAAACAATAGTGGGAAAGCAGTCTACCGAATGTCCTTGATTCATGTAAATATTTTAGTATAAAAACAGAAAAAAGTGCTGCATTTATAATATTTATTTATTTATTTACCCAATAATAAAATAATAACAATAAGAAACACTGAAAAAAACAAAAAACAAACAAAAGTAAGCCAGACGAATTAGTAAAGTTATTGTGCACACAATAACAATTATTAACGACGACAACGACAACGCCGGACAGAAATATTTCCCTTAATATACATTTCCCTTCCATCTTTGATGATACGGGCAAGGTAAAAACCACACATATCTATCTATGTATCTTTTAGATTTTTATTATTTTAATAGGATCCTCAGTACAATTTACATATCTTATATAATTGATTATTGTGATGAAACTTGCATTTTATGAAAACAACATTTGTTTCATCACACATGCAAATTGACTTTTAGTAACCCTGAAATCAATTGACAAAACTGTGGTAACCTGCTTTAAACGTTGCTGAATTTGGCTTCATATACCTAAGACAAAAATGACCACCAAGATTGTGGTGAGAGCGAGGGAACCACAAGATTTGTTTTTTATCTTTGAAATGGTGTTCCATCACTCTTTCTCGTCATTGCATCAAAATGGATTAAATTGATCCATGTAGCATGGTATTTGAAAAAGTAGATGCAATGAGAATATAACAATTTTTGCAGTGCAAAAACAATTGAGTCTTATGGCTCTCCTATTCTTGGCAACCATTTGGTCTAGTTATGCAACAATATCAGTAAATTATATGGATGAAAAGGTAACCCTGTATAAACATGATAATGTACATTTTATTGTAAACATAACATGTGATTGGTGCATCATGCTTTACAGTTTGGAGAAATTTGCTTTTTCTTTAGCCATACCAGCTTGAATGGCTTTCATTAAGTCTTCAGTTTGTAACATGCTCATGTTCCAAGCAGCCTGTGAGAAAACAAGAATTTGCTAATATCAAATGCTGATCTAAGGTGTGAAGAATTCTCATTAAAAGTGGCATTACTTTTAAATAATTTAAGTGCCATACTTGTCAATCTTGTTGTAGATGAATGATTTGCCAACACTTCAATGTTTTTTTTTTCTTTTGAAACCAAAACTAAGTATAGTGACAAATTCATAAGAATTTAATATTATTTTGAAGTAGCACTTCAAGACGTTGAACTAATTAGTCATTCCTACTGCAAAGATGTTTGTGGCTGACGAAAAAAGTTCCTTTAGGGGAAGAGTTTTAAGCTTAGTCTATCAACTACTATGGGACATGATAAGAAATATTGCAAAGCAGTCTTGTAAAATTAACAACAGGAAGTACTTTTTCTCATAGTGAATGTTACCTCCGTAAATCATTTTAAAGCACTTCTAGCTTAGTTACAATTAATAAGAATACTCAGAAGACCTGCATTATCTCATTATGCTATGAACAATAATAGATCAGACTTGAATTTCCTACTTTGTGAATCTGTGATGGATCATTTTCTGGTCGCTATATACACTATCAAATATAGGAATTGTGGATTGATAATATCAAAATTAACTACACAATATGAATTCAAACAAGTTAATTATTAAATAAAACTAGATTTGTATACAATGTTTTCTCTTGAAGGTCAGTTGTATTGTAGTATGATTGTCTATGAGATAAGACCTCCCAGTACCCAAATGAAATTAAAAAAGTCAGGCAAGGATATTTACTTTTAAATATCACATTTTTAATAGGACCAAGAGTCATATAATAAAATAAATCAATTAAACTTACAATGTAATCTAATGCCTCTGGCACAGAGTGATCTCTAGAATATATCAAGTTGACTTTGGTTCCCTGGACAGCTATAGGACTCTGACTGGCTATCGTGGAAGCCAACTCTAGTGCACCTTCAATCATAGTGTCTTTGTCTTTATAAACTTGGCTAAAATAAATAAAGAAATAAATGGTCACCATTGTTTTGTAATAAGAAAGCTATCAGAGATGGCGGACTCCATGCATCTTTATTACAAGCACTGGTTGAATGTCTCTATTTCCAATAGTTCTCAAGACATGGCATTTATGCATTTTTAATGAGGTCACATGACCATATATGGTATTGAAGAAGTAGTAAAATTATTTGCTACATATTAATCAAAATAGAATTTATAGAATTACTGGTAGCCATCTACATCAAAACATTATTATTTCATGAATATTCAAAAAAATCAATGTAGCAAATCCTCTATTTATCTATTGATATGCAAATTTGTGAATCTTTGTTCTAATTTTGACATCAAAATGATCAATCAAATGAGTAAGATTCCTTTCATTTTTCCAGAGCTTGTAGATGTAACGGTTATATGAACACAGTCATAGAGATTTTAAATTAACGGATTATGAAGACTAGGTTTCCTAAATGTAAAAACAAATTTGTAGATAGATAGACATTGAAACAAAGTTGAGCGAAATCGTTTTATTGTACATTTTTAGAGGAAAAATATTCTTCTCTGAAAATAGTTAGTGTGAATTTTACTTCCTGAAAATCTCTACTACATTCTTAAATATGTTCATCACATCTATCGGTAGTCTTCAATATGACATTGTACGTGTGTCTGTATCTGCAATAATGCTCCTGATATTACTTTGTGTTGGTGTACAAACGGATGCCGGTATCCACAATATACCCGCCTGCACTATGTGCCAGAGGGATTAAAAATGCATCTGGTTTAATTTTTCAGTGTCTATTCATTATATATTGCAGAGCCATTTTTATTTCACAAATATTGCCAAGGTGCACAATTCTGTGAAGTCAGCATAATGACTATGGTACATGCCACAGGTCTGTGTTCCTGCATTTAAAATAGTTTGCTACCATTGACAAAAAATATTCAGAGGGGGGTTTGGTTATAATATGTTCAAAATTCTGAAATAAAAATAAAGGGTAACCACACTAAATTTTTCACAAAACAACCTCAGAGATTGATAAAAAATTATCACATTTCTAAATTTTGTTTGGTGACCTATACTATAAAATGATTTGTAGTATTATAAGGGCTACATATGACTTGCATGAATATCATTTTGAATATCAGTACAAGTTATCCATGGAATATTGTGTTTACATGAAATCCTATGGAAAATGTTACAAAATGGCAACTTTTTAGATTATTTTGCATATGTTTTCTGTAAAAGACATCCTTCTCTTTCTTAAAAAAAATGTTAAATATGATTGACATGTATCATTATACAACAATTTTTGAATGATTTACTGTGGTCCGATTTTTCAATGTTTTAATAGTGGTAGCGAACTACCTTCAATGATGCCTACTGACCTGACAAGCCCACATCCCTTGGCTTCCAGAGCTTGGAATCTTCTAGCAGTGTAAGCTAGCTCTCTTACTAAGCTGTCATTTCCCACTATTTTAGGAAGTCTCTGTAGTGTACCAACATCAGCAGCAAGGCCTAGCTCTACCTCCTAGAGCCAAGAATGAATTAAATTTCATCACTGGGTATTAATGTAAAAAAACTGTTGGTTGTTGGAGTGGAGTATTACAGTGACTACATGATTAAGTGAATGTGCATAATCAACAGTTAATGATGGCAATTGATAGGGTTTTCATATCATTTTAAAATAAAAAGAAAGTTTATTGAAACCAAAAGATGAAATAATTCACTTTTCTCTGCGCTGACTTTGTTTATTCATATCTTATAGTGAACTATTTGTTTACAGTATTTACAGTATTTGGGACTGCTGTAGTTTGAAATGAACTTGATTTCAGTAACAACATCAATAACATTTCATTTCTTAGTACATTTTAATTGTTTAGAATACATTATATAATATTTGAAAAACAAACACGAACTGACCCACCTTGATTTGGAACCATGCATCTTCAGTACATAGCCTGATGTCACAAGCTGTGATCATGTCAACGCCACCTCCAACACAAGCATTGTGAATCGCTGCTATCACAGGCTTACGACACTACAACAGAAATCAAGAACAAATACATAATGCCAGGTAGGCCACATGATCATGTTTCTTTCTGGAGCAAATTACAGTTACACTAATAAAATTGAACCATTGTGGAAAACTAAATTATAATCAAAGAAAGCTTAGAAAGAACTCCCATGTGCTGAGAGTATTGGAGACACATTAAATATAATTCGAAATTACTTAGCGAAAAACTAATTATGCAAATCAGAAAATTAATATGAACAGATTTGAGTGTAAAACTAATGAGGTCTGCGCAATGTAACAGAAAATCTATGTCTTCCAAGTTTAATTGAAATCGTGATTAGAACCAAAAAATTATGAATTATTATGCTTATTAGGGAATTAATATGAACAGA